TTCAAGGCCCCTTCCCCAGCCACCCCCGGAGTATGTGGTAGGAGGCTAAATGTTGCAGACATGGGAGAACGGGGAAGCTCAGACGGGAAAGCTGGCGATTTGAGGGAGGTAGGAACGGCGCTTGCAATGCTAGATGTTGAAATACTCGCAAGCTTTGTAGATGTCGTTAGCGGTGGAGATGGGAGGGCAGCGGGTGAACTTTCTGGTTTGGCGCTTGACTTCGTGATGACTGGAATTGGGGTCGTAGCTGCTTCCGTCATTGTTGTTATTGTGATCGTGGAAGGTGAAGTCATTTGCAATAGTATAATAGGTGTTACTATGACAACTGTACGAATATGGTACAGCAAAAGTAGTGATGGTTCGAAACTAGTAGCGAATGTTGGAGATCGAGTAGGTCGAGAGAAAAAGACTGATGAGATAATGTTTACCTGTTACCACATAAGTCGGAGAATATAGCTCTGTACGTGGGCGAAAGCTTTTCGAGCACAGTCCCGTAGTTAATAGTACTCGGGTAGAAAAAGGTGAGTCGGAGCCTTGAGGGAGAAAGGTATTTAAGGGAGAAATTGTCACGTCTTCCCACCGGCTGGGTTAACCGGGGTTTGCGTTGGGTGGGTAGGTAGGTATGCCAGTGGCTTTGAGACACATCTTGCCCGCCGCAGCGCCGTGACCCCTCCCAATGTTTTCCGCAGGCTAAACATATTGATTATAATGAAAGAAATACATGATGTAACTAAGAAAGGTAAAAACAACAACGTGGGAAAGAGCTGGCGATCGATATTGAAAAATAGCTTCAATAAGCAAGCTATACCTGGGCAGTGTCCGCGCTTGCCTGCGACCAACAAGGAGGATCCTCAAGGTCTTCATCATGCATTGGGGTATTTCTATTGGATATAAGAGCATGCTACTTTTTGAATGGGCTTTCGCTTAGAAGCAAATTAGAACAAACACTCTAGTAGTAGGTATATAGATGCCTTCATGATCTGTGCTTTCATCTTTGGAGATGCCCAAAAATAGCTTGTTATTTTCTGTCTTGGGTGACAGCTTATTTTGGTGGCAGAGAATGAACGTGGCTGCAGATGGGCTGAGCGTCTAACATCAAGCATCAACAATTGTAACCTCGTACGAAGAGCTCACTTCCTCTCTATTCCACAACATAGTTGGCTAATTATGGGATTTTCCGTTTTCGCTGATAGCAATTGCTTTGGTTGGGGTGGGAATTTCCATAGATGATCCATAAGGCTACGCCATAGTGATCAATAAGAATACAATTAGGTAGTCCATAACGTTTTGATCATGATTATGTTGAGGCCCATGAACTTGTTAAGAAAAAAAGCGTAAATCTTTTCTCAAGACGCAGCCTTCAAATTCTGTTATAGGATCCTCAAGGTGCATTTTTGCTTGCTTATTGTGGTTTCAGGGTTGATTTGGATGCCAGTTAGAGCAAATGTTGCCCAACCAGAATGGGCTATGGTTTCATGATCAGCATTCTGTAAAGGTTTCACAAAAGCTTCTCCCAACTTGATACAAACTAACCGTGGGGGGCGAAACTCCACTCTGTGATAAAGTCCCATGGATTCCGACTGACAGGTTCATGGGCCCGTCGGCAGGAAATGATTCGTCTGAAAATAATAACAGGCGGTAAACCAGACACGGTGAGCAATCATACGCACTTGTAGGAGTGAGGTTAAACGCTGGCTCTGTCGCATGATGCTCTGAAGGGCTTTCTGCTCACACAAGTGATGCTATTATCGTATAGCGTTGTACTATATCTCATTGAGCCTATTGCTCAAGGAACTGACCCATGACCGGTTATATTCGCTGCCGGAATATTCCCTCCGAGACAGCAGCAAACCAGACTTCTGCATTGTTTAGTTCTATGTTAATTATCTGATTATGAAAAGGGAATGCAAGGTACCACTTCTCAGTAGGTTTGTTAAACGCCATCATACCGAAATGTTCTTTAGTTAAAGACAAAATTGGTTATATCTTCCATATAATCCATGTGAAGGTTAATTGAAATAATCTAATGGAATTCATTTGTCGCAATTGTGCTACACTATGTACGGCATGCCTAGGTTATATCTTTACATATATAGGTATCCTCCGCCCTGGACCGTTGGAATTGCTGCTCTGTGACACTAAGCACTGCTCCGGCATATTGGCGGCACTTAGCAAGGTCGGAAGTTGTTTGATATACTGACTTACAAAAACGAAGGACTATTGACAACAAGTAACTGTCGTGCCTGTGAACACAAACATATAGTGAGAATTCGATATCTACAATTCATAGCACGAAACATCGACATTGATTCCCATTAATAGCCCATAAGCAATGCCACTGGCGTTGTGCCAAATGTTCGAATGCAATTCCATCCTAGCCTACGACACAAAGATGTTTTGAGGAGGGTTTAGGTCCAGAGGGCGCCGTATCCTGAGCTCGTCTAGATGCGAAGAATTTCACGGAGTATCTATGACTTATGTTCAAGTTACAGGCATTGATAATTTGATATTGCTATGAAAATCTAATATTCTTACCTATTTGTTCGACACGAGCCCAGGACTGGCTCGGGCTGCAGCTGATTATCATTACTGGTCTAGGAAGGCACGGCTTCCCGCGGGCACTCGAAAGGGATCTAGCTATAGACGCTCTCTCGGCTTAAAGGTTCATTGGGATATTGCTTCCACAGTTTCACTTCTGCATCGGGACTCTATGTTAGTAGCTTCAAACCGTATATCCATGTGATTCGGCCCGCTCTTTGAATCATAGACCTAGATCGAACCCTTGGCCTTGTTTCATGGCACCAATCCAGGCTAACCATCAAGAAGATACCGCGCGGTTAACGGTTACACTGACGTCTTGTCACATCCCTTTCTTCGGCTTATTGGCTTCCTCTATGGTTACTTGACCTCAACGAAGTTGCAGACAACCGCCATTGTGGTACAGAATATACTTTTGTGGTGTGGCAATACGTTTCAGGACATGTCAAGTAGATAGTGGCCCAGCCAGATACAAATACATCCATTATTTGATATATTGAGGTCGGTTTCTACTAGATATGAAAACTTGGGTACCCTAAAGAGATCTACTAAATATGAATACTATGTCTAGATCATTCGCATACTGTACATAGACACTCAAATATACCAGTGTCTTTGTTTCAAGAGCCGGCCGTGTCAGAGAGGTTCTGGTTCTCGAACTCAATGCCGGCTCAATTACATACTGAAGCCTTACCTACTATGGACCGGAAAATCCTATGAAGTAAAATTTTGTACGGGTAGGTATATAAATAGTGTGGTAAAAACACACCACGACGTGGTACAAACCAGACTTACCTAGGTTTGTAACTACATGTTCCGTTCATAACATTTGCACCAGGCCCAGTAGCCATACCTACTTCGTAGGCGCCTTCGCTTCTGAGTGCTTTCGGCGACACTTACCGTAATCCAATTGGGGATGGGGGCAGCGGACAGGTGCATTTTCCCTTCTCGATCCACACTGCCAGTTAGTTAGACTGACACTTAGTCTACGCATGCAACGGTTGTGTAGATGCTTAAGGTTAAATGTGGACCAGATCACCATTTATCCAATCGCCAGTGTACCTGAACTGCAAGTCATTCAATATATCGAATATATGCCCACAGCTATGAAAGCGTGAATTTGAGTACCAGTACATAGTGTCAAAACATATTAACTTTCGGTTTTCGATCCGGTGTCTTGTCCGTTGGCCTTGAGTTAAAAGTTCTACTACGTACAATGCATGTGACTACCAATATTGGCCAGACAACACCTAAATGGGGCTCACTGGTTCTGAAAAACTTGCATTAAATAGATTGCGGACGACTTATGGCTGTAGCTGCAATTCAATCGATGATTGTCCTTCCTTCATAGTTAGGTCACCTAGGTTCCATGATGTGTACTGCCTGAGCCCCAGGGATGAGAATAGATGAACACGAACCTAATATAGCAATAAGGATATATTAGTTTATGAGAAGTGACCTCAAGGTTTCCCACACAATCAGCGGAAGGAGAGATGACAACATCTGTGTATTTTCTAGTAAGAAGCGGAGTCATTATTTCGGAAGACAACGATTGTGAAAACACGCGGGGGAGAATGGTCTTGTGAGATTGTTTCATCAGGTTTGATGTATATTCCCCCTATAGGTAAGTACCTTTTTTTCTTGGATACTTCCTGACACCAATTATATTCTTTGAACTAGAAACTTGACTCAAGGGAGCACATTTCCATATTGAGAGCCATGGGGAAATTTCTTGCCTTTTATATTCCACTACCATCAAGAGAGACCTTTATTAACTATCTTATGGGCTCACATTGTGCATATAAGTACTGAGATTTTCTCTTAAAGAATTATGGCTTACATTGCTCTATACATGGAGTTCGGAATAAAAGTGCTATATTACCCAAGTCTTAACACACCTACTGTCCAAAGTATCTTTTTAGTATACTGTACCATATATAATGCTGGAGGAGCTCTGATTATCTAACAAATATATTGATGGTTAATAAATAATAGCATCACCATTTTGTAGTCAAGGCATGCACCCACCCACAACGTCTGCTGCACGGCAATCTCCATCCATCTACCAAGTAGCAATTTTCCAACCTCCAAATTCACCCCTGGCCATACCGCTCCATCCTCCAGGTCTTATGGCGCAATTGGTTAGCGCGTCCGGCTGTTAAACACCTTCATCAAATGTAAACCTTCCTCTGGGGGCATTTGGAGTTGAGTTTAACAACTACCGGGAGGTTGAAAGTTCGAGTCTTTCTAGGACCGCTTTGTTTTTTTTTGCTCTTTTATTCCTAACTCTTTCGAGAAACACATTAATCATTCACCAACGGCGTCTGCATTATAGAAACCTCTAGGAGACCACCACGTAGCACTTCCTCTCCCTATATATCAACTATATACCACTTGCCCCCATATCAAAACCTATAAACCCCCTCCAAAACCTACCCACCCCCATACCTCTCCATCGACCAGGTCTTATGGCGCAATTGGTTAGCGCGTCCGGCTGTTATCCACCTTAAACTTCCTCTAAGGGCATTTGGAATTGGGTTTACAACTACCGGGAGGTTGAAAGTTCGAGTCTTTCTAGGACCGCTTCGTATTTTTTGCTCTTTCTTTCTCTTGCCGAGTCTCGATCTAGATCCGTTACTGGAGGGCAGTAAATTAAGTAGTTAACGCTGCAATAGATGACTACTACATTAACACTATACCAAATATAACTCATTCCTGTGCGCCGGCTGCCCACTTTCCTGATACTCAAAACCCTGAGCAATGTTGAGGTGTTTTGATAGGAGCAACCCACACACTGCCTATCCAACCTCCCTATCCACTCACGCAAGCAAGAAGAAACAATGGCGTTCAGTATCATGATAGCATGGTGCTTTTTACTCTCTGTTAGGAGTTCTTGGCTTCCAGAACAAGCCGGTACTCAAGTATTCTCAACGGCATATTAGCCCCTGGGCTTACTGAAATATTAATGGTGGATGTCTATAGAAGAGTACATTAGAAGACCAGTTTGAAGTTTCTAGAGTGGCAAGGGCGCTGGCCCAATAAATAATATGGCTTGAATTCTTGCCTTTGCATTACGACTCAGAAGACTGATAACTCTGTCCATGCATAACTATTAGTCATAGCAGGCGCTTGTAGAATAGAATGATGAAGTCCAAGTAGGATGACGATACTTATGACATATTGTGCAGGATGTTCCTATGTAACGAAATTACATGAGTTTCAACAAATCAGAGTCCTGTAAAGTTATAAAAATTGGAGATGCGCAACCCGTGGGTGACAGGTCTGACAGAGAGAATTACCCTGAGCTAGAGCACATATAGATTACTTCTACATTTTTTGTCAGTTGAATAATGAAGGGTTGCTTTGGAAAAACCACTTTTCATAAGACAATCCAAATACCTTGGGTACAGGTATTTATAATTTGGTTATATCAAGCACACATATTTGACTTTCTCTTGCATCTGGGTTTGAGTACACCTTATAGTGGTCTAGCAATAAACATTATTTTAGTAGTATTCAATTATCAATTGAATAAGATGTTAGCTGGATCAAACACTGTTTTCATGCTTTTCGAACCTTTTCATAGGCCATGTTAAATATTCTGAATTATATTTTCAATCGATAGAATCTGCATACAACGGCACATATTTTGTTATTTGGTATTCCGCATACTGGGTCAAAGTGGGATACAGATAAGTTATATTGGAGAAGACGTGGTAAAGGCATTTTCCAGATGGCCTGCTGCTTTTTCTGCTACAGCAGTCTCCCCACTCATAGTAATTATTGGGAATCCTGAGGCAGAGAAGAAAGGGCTCACAGGAGAGGTCTATATGGAGTGGCCAGCGTATTCACCCGATTTGAGTCAGATTAAAGTGTTTTGGTTATTTATAAAGAAGGCCTTCATGAGCACCATCCAGAGCTTCTGCACGCGCTGAGAAGGTGAAACCTTTGCACTCGCCCGCTGTTGGGAGGGTTTAGAGGAAGGGGCATTTCACCGGCTCATTGAGAGTATGCTTCGGAGGGTGAGGCAAATATTGAGTACATACCTGTTGATAAATTTATTATCCTGTACCTAAATGATACCTATGGAAAGCTCTGTGCTTAATTTCATGCCCTTCGGTGCTCTGATTGTTTTGTTGTTGACCAACATCAATCATCTCGTAGGAAAAAAATTTCTGGCAAATTCTGTTTCCGTGCTAACACTTACGACCGCTGACTAATGAGAATGAGTTTACAGACATTGTCTAGAATGCTGTAAGGTGGTGGATATGCGTGAGTATAACAGTAATAACTGTTACTATTGCGAGTAATTCCGGTTATTATGGGGTATTGGCCTTATAGTTATAGTATCGCTACGCAACGGTCGATGTTCAAGCCTCAGGGGTTTCTCAGGCTACATAAATCATATACCAAAGGCTACTACTATGCAGCAAGAGAACGCTACTTGAATTTGTACCCGCTACTACGAATGGTAAATTGACGCAATTCAAATAGACACATTTTAGTGCTTATTGTGTCGATGTATGTACATTTCCCATTGCATTGGCGTACGGTAACTACACAACTTCCTCCTACTGGTGAGGAACCTAACTCCAGGAAACGACCCACAATCAAGGTCAAGTACAAATTAAACTACTTCATCTGTCTAAGTATATATTTATCTGAACGAAGAATCATCTAAGTATTATTCACTACTCAATGGATCGAGATTAGTAGCTCCCCATCTTGTTCCGCCACAAGTGAGCGTGCTGTAAGTACTGGGCGAATAGTAATTGACTCTTCCAACATGGATAGGATCCAAGGCGATATCTCATTAAGCTGATTATAAATACATATATACCGTATTATAAGTGACCAACCACCATGACTACATAACTTTCCCCCCAACCCCCGAATAGAAAACCCAGCCCATCTCAGAGCAGAGAGAATTGCTACGGAAGGGGGCCATCTTGTGAGATTATCATCCAAATGTGCTCTCTACCCATATCTCTCCATAATGACAGGGGGGCCCTGAAAAGATTAAAGCAGCACTCGCAGTACCTCTTTCAGGAAGCGTGGAAGGCCATTGGTGAGAGATTTTTTTGAATTTGGCCTGCAGGTTTAAAAAAAAAAAAAGCTTATATGGGACATTCCTGTCTCTATCTATTTTATTTTTTCTGTGAATACGAGCGTGAAAATACCCCAAACCAAGATCATAGGCGATGGGATATCGCCCGCGGCGTGGGGTGGGGTGGTCGGTGATTTTTGGCACCAAACTATATTTCAGAAATTCGAAAGAAGATATGAGAATCGTGGCAGCGTATGTATATCAAAACCAAATTCCCCAACCTCCTCTCCATATTCATTAAAACCAGTTTCTATAAGAAAAAACCTCTATAATTTGCATGCAAGTATTAACGTAAGTAAGTTCTGCCGTTTTTCTTTTTTTATCACCCTTTCTTATTTTGCACCCCACTACTCATACGACGCCCCCTCAAACTCCTTCCACACATTTCTAGCCCCCTCCCCTGGCCCAAACCTCTTCGCAATCTCTTCCCTCACACTCCCCACAATATCCTCCGAAGTCCCCTTAGTAGACCCCTCTTCAGGTTCACCCTGCACATCCGTATCCCTCCAAGTCCCCCACTTCCACTGCGCCATCAAACTCGGCACCGTCGTATACCCCTTCAGCAAACCCGCCTTGAACTTTTCCGCCATGAGCATATCAACCGGCATTTCCAGCGCCCCTCCCGGCCCACCAACATTATACAGTAACCTCATCGCGCCCATCTTCGTGACTGCATATCCAGTCGTACAAATCGGCGCGTACGTAGGAAGCAGAACCCTAATCCTATTCGAAGAGCTGAGAGGAAGATAGATCCGATATTGATCCATAGCCGGTGCATACTGGTCCTCCCAAGCTTCCCAGATCTTCGCTGCCTTTGGGAATTTCGCAGCTGGCGGTCCTTCTTCACCCTCACCATAGCAGTGACCGAGGGTGAGCACGTCCCAGCTGCTGTCGGAGTTATTGATCCCATAGGGCTCCCCTCTAGGAGCGCCAGTGAGGCGCCGGAGATGGGTATCAATGTCGGACATGACCTCCTGGATGGAGGAGGTGAAGTCGGCGTCGTCCTCGAGGATGAGCGCGGAAGTGATCCCGCTGCTTGCGATGTGGGCCCAGACTTGGGCGTGGGAGCGCCAACAGCCGAGTTCGGCGGGGCGGACGGGTTTTTCGGGGGGGTTGCGGACGTCATAGGGTTTGGCTTTGTCGGAGATAGAGCTGCCGTTGACCTGAGAAGGAGGGGGAGGGGTTAGACTTCTATTGCACACTCGAGAGAAGGGGGGGGAGAGAACATACTGATTCCACCATAGTAAATTCCAAGTCTAGATACCCGGAAATCAACGCCATCATATCCTGTCTATCTGTTCGACTGCCATCCCATCCCAGAGCACATCAGCCCCAGTCTCAAATGCACATCCCACCACACCGAGCCATCCCGCATCTCATCTCATCTTATCTAGGCAAAAACAAACTTACTGTTTCATGCTTAAATAGAAAATCTTCTCAAACCCCAACGTCCTATTTCTCGGCCCGTAACTCGCATCCACATCCGCTTCCCGCCACATACCACCATTCGGTACTCTCCTTCCTCCCACGAGAAGCAGCAGCGTCAGCACCCCAAGCGCAATTCCGAGCATTGTTCGCCGCCGGAGGCCGATGATGGAGGTTTTGAAACGAGTGAGCCACCAACGCAGGGAGGGAGGGATGGTGAGGGCGTAGATTTGCATTTTGGGGAATCCGTCGTCGCCACCGGGGGGGGGGTGGGATAGGGGGAGCTCGAGGTTGAGGTTGAGGTCGCTGCTGCTGCGGCCGTCGCCGCTGGAGGGCCGCATGGGAATGTCGGGCACGAGATTAGGTATGTCGGAAGCAATGGAGCGGCGGAGAGCCCGTTGGAAGTCAAAAGGGATTCGCGTTTTCGGAGTGCTCCGTCAATTTAAAGAACCAAGTCGGCATTAAACCATTTCAAGGTGACTTATGCAGGCACGAGAATAAAGTTATACAGTACCTTTGGTAAGAACAGGGGGACTGTACGTGAACCGCGGATTAAGCGAGAATTTACGGCCCCTCGCCATACAGGCCCAGCCGAAGTGATATCTCTGCTCCTGCGGTAGCTGTCTTGGTGGTCTTGTGCACATTCAACCTCCTCCAAATTCTACAAATACCGTGGAGACTCGATTTATACAGTAGAGCTATCACACACATATGCGATGCGAACGACATATGCGGGTTTCAGGATCTCACGAGACATGCCCGTGCTCATTCTTATATGAACGTCGGACATGGAGAAATGTAGGCACTGTAATTATCCACAACGCGACCAAGGAAACCTCTACAAGCAATTATCCACAATGCCATCAAGACAGCCTCTACAAGCGCTGTCAGTGAATATAGCTGCAAAAGTTCAGACAGGTTCTGGAGGCAGAAAACTACAACTCGATATGGGCCTAAACCAGAGCCATTAGCTCAGATAGTCTTCCACCACCGTCTCGGTCCAATAAAGCGAGTCAAGAGGAGCTATAGCAAGGCTAAAGAAATTGAAGTG